CCCCCGCCATGATTCTGGGTTTTCGTCTAAGAGGAAGAAGAAGAATGCTTCTTTGCGCACTGAGCGATTTGCCCACAACCACCTTACGACGGCCGACTGAATTTCTAACATGTTTGATTTTCATCCCGACCTCTCGATTCCTGATCAGAGGTGGTCGTGAGAGATGCCCCTCGTTACCCCCTGTACGCTACATGAGCCACAATCAGGCTGAAAGATTGAAAAATTAACCCACGGCTGGAAAATCGGCCCGAAAAGGGCAAAAAATCGTGCAGTGTATGTCCAGTGTTCTGTCAGATCAGCATACCTATGGTCAATACCCCTGTTTATCCCCGTAGTTTTGTATGAAAAATACACTTTAAACTACCTCAACGGGCGCGTATCCCTTTAGTCATGCACAAAAAATAAAAACAATTTTATTACTTTCTTTTTTCATGTTTTTGAAGCGTATAGCGATCTGACCTTACATTGTTTTTTTTTTTTTGCTCATGACTAAAGTGGTAAATGCCCTTCGAGGTAGTTTATAGTATATTTTTTATACAAAAAATAAGGAATAAACTGGAATCTGATGTCTTGCTCGTGCGTATTGACTATTGGTATGCTGGTCTGACAGGTTATGTTTGACTCTTACATTGATGACACCTGCATGAGGTTCTGTTGGTTTTTCTGGGTGAAATTAAAGCTTAAAAAAGAATGAAAGAATAGGAACGTTTAGAGTGGCTTTAAAGTATTGACACTCCTTCCCTTTCCATCCTGTTACACCAACAAACTTCAGTCTTTAGCTGGAGGTGGAATGGACTGTTTGGATAAACAGTGTCAGTGAATATCAGATTTTATATCCTTGACTATGCCATTATTTGGCCTCTTTGCTGCTTATTTCATTACTGTTGAATAAAAAAGCTCTATATACAAAGATAGTTAACCTAACTTTTTTCTCTTGATGTTTATTTTATTGAGAAGATACCGTTTTAAAGTAATTTGTAACTTGCAGCTTAATGTTTTGTACCGTTTACAGCATTTTTTTTATTCTTGTCTGTCATGTCTCTTTCTAATATTGTTTTTTCTGTCGTGCTCTTTCCATCCACCTGCAGCCGGTATCTCTGAAGCCGCTGCACGTTCTGCAGTGCCACAGTAAACAGGACAGCTCAGAGGACTTCTCCACCCAGCTGTGGGCCTGCGCCTTCCAGCCGCTCTCAGAATCTAATGGTACCAGATCAGGAGAAAACAGCCTGAAACAATAAAATATAAAAACATTTAAAAAATCATTTGCATCGTTTTAATCTCTTTAGGGGCGGATTGAACTTAAGTTTTTTTTTTCTATTTTAGCAGGAGGGAACCGCTTGGTAGCAACGTGTGGAGGAGACTCTGTCTGTGTGATTGACTGTGAAATGGGGATGGTGATGAAGAAGTACAAAGTTCCAGGAGAGGTAATTTTATCCACAATACAGTGAAAATGTGATCACACTTTAAATTCTTGTTTTTTTGTTTGTTGTTTTTTTCAGATGATCAGGCCAATTTTATTTCATTTCCAGCCAAAGAGAAATTTGTAGATGATGATTTAATTTATTAAAGGAGAAGTTCGGTTTTTTACACTTTAAGCCCATTTTCTGTAGTGTCCAGGATGAAATC